AACCTAGACATAGCTTATGGTATGCCTTCGAAGGCGACAATGCCCGGCGATTACGTGTTGAAGATCTTCCCGATGACGAGCCCAGTGTTGGTGACATTCAAGACGAAATCATAAACAAAGAAAGGTCATCGTGTGCTGCAAGCACGATTACTCTTAAAGTAAAGGCTCCCGAAGACGACAAGTATAAATTGTTAGACGATGCCTTATTCCAAAAGCATGAAGAAAATTTCGTCAAATTAAAGGACTTCTTTAAGATATCAAATAAAAATCCAATAATAGCCAGCATCCCAGGTAATGATATGTGACTCAGACGTCGGGGACATATGCACATAGACATAGTAATACGAGTTTCTTTGTTGTGAATTTATAAGACAGTGTTAATAATTTTAGCATTGACTTTTAATTCATAATACTCATAAAAGATAAAATTGAGAGCTTAGAGCTAAAAAGAAAAAGGAAAATAACGGAAGAACGTAAGAAATATATCAGTAGAACTCTGTTTTCCATGCATTTTGCTCCTTATTCTTACAAACAGTTCTCTACAGTTACGAAAGCAAATAAAAAAAGATGGACAGTTAATAGCGCCATTCCAGATGCAGAGCGTAACAATGTGTACTTCGTTGATCCAATGAAGGAGAGCGTTCCGCTCCTTGATATGATTCGGAGAGGAGAATTTGTTGCTTTATATGGTGCACGCGCTTCAGGAAAATCCACACGTACGATCCAAGCTATGGAACAGTTGATACGCGAAGGCTTTATTTGTGTCTAGTAAGCTTTGTTAATAAGTTTTGTTTAAGTCAATTGATCACATTTGCGGAGTCTGATTGTTGATTCCATTTCTTCGCAGTATAACTCTCGAGCTGATTAACATGGAATCTGTAGATAAATTCTGGATATCACTGGGCCATTCGTTCGAAACTAATGATACTTCTAATATCGACTTTGCTGGTATCAAATCCGCTAGTGAATTCGCTAGATTGCTTGGGAAAGATAGGTGTAAAAAAGAGGTGGTTCTATTTGTCGATGAGTACGATGTATTGTATGAAGCAGATGATGACGTTAGAGCCTCATTCCTTGGGACTATCCGCGGTATTAAAAACGCAAAACGCAATTATTCTCTCTGGTCCTCTGTGGCCGTCGGTCCCTTCAGCATCTTACATTTGAGTTCAAACAAAAGTATGTCACCTTTCAATGTGAAGGATCCATTTCAAAATCCAAATTTCACAAAGGAACAGGTACAGTCGTTATATAGAGACTTTGCACATGACTACAATTTCATCATTGATCCGGCAATCATTGAGGACATTTACACACGAACAAATGGGTATGTGAAATTTGTCATGTAGCACATGAAAAATCAAGGGCTAAAATTAAAATCTGCTTTCCACAATTCTTGTTATTTTGTCAGACATGCTGGGCTTGTATGCCTATGCGGAAAAGCTATTTATATAGATTTAATAAGAAAACTTGATGAAAGAAGACAGCTTGACTTCTTAACTTGGTTAAATTTCGCCATCATTTCATTGCAAAAATTGGTGCTTGATTATGCCACCTTCAGAAAGATGGTCCATACACTTACCAAGGATAAAGCCAGGCAAGCCATGCAGCTTGTTCGATCTGCATTTATAGGATTCTTTGATTTAGTACACATTGTTGACAATGAAGAAAGAAACTTGGCAGAATTCTTAACAGCTGAGGGCGTGCTAATTAGGGATGAAGAGAGCAAGGATAAATTTAAAATGTCATCTGCTCTTGTAGATGAGCTCATTCGGCAAAGAGTCATTCCTGAATTATTCAAGTCCACCCCAGCAGTTGCAGTTCCTGAAAAACGTGATGGATTCCTTGATATTATCAACATTTTGAAGACAGTTGTTCAGTTCTTTGACCAAGACATCATTTCCCGAGCATTCTATCGGTCGTTTAAAACAGCACATGATATATATGTGAACAGTCAGAAAAACAAACATGTTCCCCGAGAAAGCACCTACGATGCAGAGATGAACAGAATCTTAATCAACTGGATTTCCAAACAACGCGATTTTGAGGTCACTTGTCAGTGGCATTTAGTAGAATATTGTGCCAACGAAAAATATAAACATACATATAGTGATATTGTAATCAAAACTCCATACCAGACGGTTGTTTTGGAACTTCTAGCTACTGCAACTAGAACACAACTCAATGAACATTTTGTACGGGCAATTGAATATGGGAATAAGCTATGTGCGGAGGAAGTTTGGATAGTACATTTCACATGTGAGGATAATTCAACCCAAAATCCCTATTATCCACCTAGTGCAGAACTTTGCAAGCTTAATATCGTACACTTCTTGCATGATGAAGAGTTTAAAAATGTGCGAATGAGTGCTCGATTCATGGATAGCTCTGGTAGTTTTAGTCATATTAATGATGAACTGATTATTGAAAAATGACTAGTCTTTGAGAACGAAATTTACACAAATTAAAATTGCAATTTATTTTTTGCTAATAAAATGAAACCAAAAATTATTGCTGTTTTATTATATGTATGAATTCTTTCAGAGACACATTGAAAAAAGTTGGAGGGTTATAGAAATAATATATGACGTTGCTTTCAAGAGAGGTGTCCTATGTACGGCTTATAATGATATTGTAAACTGCTGTTGCTCTCGCAGTAAGATCGCGAATATTTCTTGGATGATACAAGCCTTAATCCTACAGTTTATGTAATTCTCACTCAAGGCTTGGTTATTTGACGTCCGCTTCCTATATATACCAGGCTAAATACAGGATTTCGTAATTGGCGATAGAAGTACTATATTCACAGCGATTATTGCTAAGAAAAGAGATATCCGCTATAATAATCGCTCACTAGGTTGTTGTTACTAACAAGGGATTATGTAACGTGGGTATATATTAAGCATCGATTAATAGTAGATGACTACTAACCGTTCATCAATAAATAATAAAAGAAGACCAGAACTTGTTTCTTTATTTTATGTTTGATCAAATGTCTGAAAAACGCGTTGAATCTCTAGGGTTCGACCAATGTTTGTATATATATGTGTCAAGATTATTATTATTACTATTATTTAGCCAACAATGTAACTTGTTTGACGCTGTTCTTCGAGCTTTGTATTGACCATGTTTACAAGGTTCAAGTGAGAAAGGAGTCAAGGAAAGGGTGGGTTGCTTGCGAATGTAATTAATTATTATATAAATAACTAATTATAGTACAAGTTTTCGGATTCAAGAACAGAATTCAAACTACCAGGTTGAAGATGAACATGTTGAAGATGATGCTAGCTAGCGAAACTACCTCTACATATATACCTTTCTATCCGTTCCATTAACTAACTATATAATTATATACGCTGGCATTAGTTGAATTGTTTTGCACGCGAATTATGCACTCCGTCATTGGTATGCAAAGCGTTAACCGGTTTTAGGTTGTGTTGCTGTTATTAGCGCTATCGGGGAATGTATTCCAGCAAATAGCGCCTATATGACGAATATACATTAACGAATAACTGCTGCGCAAACAAGTTATATTTATTGATTCAATAGAGGCTGTGTATGAATGTACCATATGCGTCACTACATTAATAGCATGTGATGAATAAAGGTTGATCGGCAAATGTTCACTGTTCGATTGTGACAGTGAAAATGACCAACATATGCTTGATCTTTGAGATAGTAAAACTAAGTGAATACAGTGGTTTTTAGTGACAGACTATAAGACTTATGTTGCAGAGATGAGGTTTCCATTCTCTCGTCAACCTGGAATTTTACACTTGAAACTCCATTGGGTTTCGAATTCCTAAAAAATGCCGTTCTAACATCTGCTCCCAAATAAAAAACAGGTTTAGAACTTGAATGCGGACCACCCCCTTTTGGATTCCACTATTTGTACGTTCTAACACGGTACGGGCCGAACTAGAAAATGCGACAGCCCCAGTGTGACCCTTAAGTAGAGTGCGTCTATGGGGGCTTATCAACATGTCGGTCCGAGACCATCATTAGTGACATATCTTTGAGGAATTATGATGATACTGTGTGGGACATGTACACTATCTAAGACAACTCTAAATTCAAAACTGGAAGAGATTAGCGTTAATAATAATAATTGGTGGGATAGACAGCTCTTGCAGTGGTTGTTTCAAGCTTTGATCGGCAATATTCAAGTCTCTAGAGGCTAAGCTTTCATTAAACGAGCATAATTTGCTGCGACTCGTATTGCGATTTTAGGGACTAACTTTAATGGGCTAACAAAACAATGATCGAAGTAAGATAATGGAATGATGTGTATACAGACATGTTCGTTCTACGAATACCTCAGTATGAAATATTTTAAATTTGCATGAGCCTCTGAAAAATGAAACCGCAAACGTGTATTAATGCAAGTCTATAAGCAAATTAGCCGAATTTACATGGAATAATCCTTTACTATGTACTGCGGTATAACGCATAATCAAACAATGATGGCGATCTGCTGCTCAATGATTCCAGGGAATGGTCCTCTAATACTAATTAGAACTAGAACCATTTCTATCGCCGAGCTCAATAGTGATGTGGATAAATTTTCTCTCCTTAACTAATTGCCGAGCATAGTTCTCAATAAGAATGGGCTTGGATGTTCAATATCTATTTAATGATTTCCATGTGTTACAGTATGATGTATCACTCACTGTTCTCTTGATTCTATCAATCGAATGGCGTAGGGAATTGTCAAATAAGTAAGCTGTTATTTAATAATATAAATAAACAATAACATACTGATAAAAAGAAAATTGTTTCTTTCTATGATACCAAAATAGAAAAAGGGATGACCGAGACATTCTTGTGTTAACCTCCTGATTCATTTTGTGGCGTTATCGCTTGGGCAGAACACGTGGTACTTAACAACAATATAAATACACCCCATTGCGTGAAAAATCACTAGAAAACACCATTACCATCACAAATAAAACAACGGAATCCGAATAATTACAAGTGCAGCTTACATAACTACTCGATTAACTATGAAGAAACTTAGTAAGGTTGGAAAAGGAACGGTTAAATATGGGTTTGCTTACGGTACGTACAACGGTATGATACTTGGTAATATTAGATAGAACGCTCCTAACACAAACTTTATTGTCTTGCTAATAGAGAATCCAAAATCAGAATCACGACTATTCGTTCCGCAAGAATTAACAAGGATTATACTAACACCCACTCACTCCAGATTCATATTCATCGGCACACGACATGAGATCCTCCAATGGATGCTTGAGCATGAGAACATAATCGTAGAATACGCTCCAATGGCTGAGGGACTTTCTCCTCCACTATCTCCGTCGACGTCTCCAAAGCTTAGCCCGATGCCAATGGGGATGCCTCTTCATTTTACAAACTCTACATTCTCATCTATGTCGACATCCACATCCACATCCACATTCGCACCCACACCACCCAAGTTCACACCTACATTCACATCGACATCGACATCGACATCCACGTCCACAGCTTCCACCGGCAGCAGTAAATCAGCCAAACTCACATTCGATCTCTTTGGACAAGCATTAAAGAATCTAAATCCGGCCACGAGCGACAAAGCGATCTATAAACCAAAAAATTGTGCAACGGACTATTTGCCATGGGCAGAAGTGCTTCTGGAAATACGACCTACAGATCCAATAAAAGATGCAAAAGAAACCCCATTAAAACGGCTCGTTCTCAAATCAGGTTTATCCTTCTACGAAATTTCCAAAGCACTCGAGAAATGTTGGAGAAACGTCATTCCTGATTCGTTCTCTCGTTTCCTTAAACCACCACCCACTGTCGAAGATGGTAGCGATGATGCCCCAACCGAAGATGTTAATCCGTTTTATGACTGGTTAGCAAGAACTAAGAGTACGACTATTCCAACTCCAGACATAGCCAAGAAATGGCAGCAAAAGATGTCCGTTATTCCACCTGGAGTAGTGACGCCATACGTTATAGAAAATATTGCTTCAGATGATATGGTGTTGACTAAGCCCGAGGAACAGAGGAGACTGGAAAAGGAGAGGGAAGCCATGGAAGAGAAAGAAAGGGCGAGATTAGCAGAGGAATTTGGAGAGGGTAGTCAATTCGCGTTGCCCAACTATTACCATTCATCCGAGGATCCATTACTTGAAAGTGGAATGACTGTGGGGAGATCAACATAAATGTATTATAAAATGATAGGTCGGGCGTACTTACTAATACATTCTATCTATTCTTTTGTTATTTATTTATTCTTTTCATTTATTGAGTTAATATTATTACGAGTATAATTGTGTGAACAAAAATGTACAGTCAAATCTTAAAATAAACTCCCAAACAAGTTAATTAGGTTGCCGCAGAACACAATATAATCATGTAAATCAAGCACATTGTAGCACTATAGACATTGACAGACATTGCATATGACGTCAGATCCGGTGTCATTGCAGACAGTGAAGCCCGAAGAAATTTCTAATTTGTACTATTTATAGAAACAAGTATTATAGTATCGCACATGCAATTCGTCTTATTACGAAATTTCCCAATAAAGTTTAAACTGGACGTATGCAATGAGGAGTCAATTAAACTTATAAAACGTTGGTTTATTGACATAAGTATTATTATTAATAATACGCCATCAGTCTTGATAACTCTAATAATAATAACCGATTTATCGGAAATCAGCGGTTGAAGACATCTAATTAAGTCGGTTTAGATTAATATAGTTACATTGTAAAATTATCTTAGAGAATTGACATGCTTTTTCCTTTCAACGTACACATGGCTATTTATTAAATCATTCGGAATAATTAAAAATTGAAAGGTCACAAATTATCACGTGAGATTACGCAAGACTTTTAACTAGTTGATTATTATTATCATTTGCCGCGATTTATTCAAAAGACTCATCATCATTAAAACAAATAATATTATGACATTATTGCGTGTTTTTATCGATAATTGTAATAATTTGCCAATTGGCATCAAAACACATATTCAAATGAGACATTGTTTGTAAAAGACTTGTCATTATTTGTAAAAGACTTGTCGTTATTTGTAAAAGACTTGTCATTATTATTATTTTTAATACTCGTTTAAAGCGCGCTTAGAGCGCGATGATTATGTTTCTAAAGAACATTTCCTGACCACTGACACCTCATTATTATTAGTGTTAATGACTATTGCTGTAACCGTCCATTATACGAACAAAGCTATTCTGAAAACAGTTGTAGAGTGCAAGTTTTCGTTGTTTTAACGTAAATATCACCAATTTAACAGGTACTGCAGTAAGCGACGCGCGGGACACTTCTCAACAATGGCAGACATTTTACTGATCGCTTCTCTGCTATGCAAAGTATTGGGTGCTTGGCAGTATAACGTTAAAAAAAGGACTGTTCTTTTGAAAAAAAATTTTATTTCAGTACAAAGCGAACCACATGCAATGGCCGTGGGATATATTCGTTAGTTGTATAGATGCGCAATAAAGTATGATGTTCTTAAGGTTGTGTCTTCGTTCGACTTTCAGTAAGGTAGACGCCTACGAAGGAGTGGATTACTTCTATCTTCTGCATTCTGACCAAAAAAACGCAGTGTTCGCGTTTTTTGTGTAGTAAAATCAACATATGCAATAATAGATAGCACGTAATCATGAATATATGATTGGGGCAGCTAAAGCGTGATAACCCGGGGTGGAATAGTAGTGGAAGATGTGGAAGCTATTGGTGAGCATTCTCGAAATTTGGTTTGGAGTAAGGGATTAAGTGAATTAGGATGTATTAGTAGTGAATTAGGATGTATTAGTATGAAATTAGATAACTGGTTAATATTTATATTCTTCCGTAACATACTGTATGCAAAAATAATAGCTGCAGGCACACAACTATAATCATTGTCCAAGTTTACTCGTGAAGTCATTGAAGAAACCGCTTTTTTCGAATAGCTAAGATTGGGGTCATGTGGTTTGATCCATAACAATCATGCCGTCAACGTGTTTTGACCATCAAGAGTGTCGCTACCCAAAGTGTACGGACTATGACCATTCGAAAATTAAATGAAACAGTTATACGTAAGCTGCGCGCATCACTTGTAATCACATCGATTGCACAGTGTGTACTCGAACTCGTTCAAAACAGTAAGTGTTCGATAATATCTTGGTTGTTCTTTCACTTTTTCTCATTACCGCTTATTCTACAATCGCAGGCATCGATGCCTCTGCAACTACAATTGAAATACGCGTGGATGTCTCTACATATTACGTACAAACCATTGACAATGGTACTGGGATATCACCAGAAGACCTGAAGAAAGTCGGACAGCGCTATGCCACGTCAAAGTGTCATACGCTAGACGAATTACAAAAAGTCAACACTTATGGTTTTCGAGGAGAGGCACTGGCCAGCATTGCAGAGGAGGCGATAGTTGAGATAATAAGCAAACATCCTGGTTGCTACGACACGTACTCGAAAACGATAAAGGGTGGACAACTTATTCAGTATGGGCCCACAAGATATAATAATCGAAGAAACAGTGGGACTACGATTATAATACGAGACTTGTTCTATCGCGTAAGTGTTTGCCAAACGTAAACACGGTGTTTGTGTTCTCTCGGGTCCCCCCGTGATATCTTATCAATTCTACATTTAGTATCCAGTTCGTCGAAGGCAACAAGCACAGACACCGGCTTCATTTGCTAATGAGATCGATAGCGTGAAGCGAGCAGTGGAGACGATTGCTCTCATTTATCCAAACATTATCTTCACTTTAATAGACACGTTGCGCGATGCAAAGATAGTAATGACACGCAAGACAAATTCGTCCATCTCGACGTTTAGACAGCTCTTTGGAGTTTCGCTCTCCCAACATCTGGAATCTGTGTCTGAAGAAGAGGATGATTTTGTCATAAAAGGTTTTATTTCAACGAGAGGCTTACCATCGCGTCAACACCAATACATTTTTGTTAATAATCGACTCATTGCCTATAATGACATCCACAGAACCATCGACGAATTGTTTGCTCAGAGTAGCTTTCCGGACAGAGTCAATGACACTTTGGACTTGATCTCCAGCATGGAGATATCATCTGATCAGAGGCAGAGAAAGTCAATGGGGAAATATCCCGTGTATCTACTGCAACTTACTTGTGCTGCGACCGAGTACGATATTTGCTTGGATCCTGCAAAGAATATTGTGGAATTTCAGAACTGGGAAAAGATACTGAGACTAGCCTCATCTTTGATCATCGATTTTCTCATAAAACACAAATTTGCGGAACATTCAAATTCATCTGATGACAGTGTTTGTGAGGATGCGGATGGGAGAAATGACACTTGTCCTAGATTGAGATTTGATGAATTGTCGCATATTAAATGCAGTGGTGTAAAAGAACATTTATTTACTGATAAAGAATTGAAGGGCGGCTCATGTGAAATGTCAATGGTATCCGAAGAGTTACCACGTGTACAGCCACAGCAAGCACCTGCACAAGCACCTGCACAAGCACCTGCACAAGCACCTGCACCTGCACCTGCAGTCGAGACACCAAAGTCCGTACGTACGGAAATGAATGAATATTCCAAGTGGACTGATCCAATTACGAAAGAAAGTTTCTACGTTGATAAGAGGACAGGAAACTCGTAAGAATGCGTTTTTAGGTATAAAGATTGTAGTAACCGAATAGAAAACTGACGACTGGCTTTTGAAGGTACAAGACGATACCGTGTTATAGTGATGAAACCGAGAACAATCCCATGCCAATATCGACCAGAGGATGCGTTGATAGGAGTCGTCTGCGAACGTCAGCAGATTGTAAAAATAACGCGAATTTAAATCTATGGGCACATGACGTATTTAAGGTTGTAGTAACCAAAGTCTTGCGCATTGTTGCTTTCGTAATATAACATTAACCTTGTTCTTAACAGAAATGGACAGGCTCAAATATCAACAACACGTCTGAAACGCCAATACCTCATTTAATGCTACCTGGTGCCAACATGAAAAAAATGACAACCCGAAATTTATTCTCGTGGTGTGCATCAGCAACGATGGATATATCCAAATATCGATTCACGAAACAAGATCTAAAATCAGTCAAAGTAATAGGCCAGGTAGATGACAAGTTTATCGCATGTAAATTGCAATGCAGTGATACACACACGAGCAGCAATGGCTCATCTACCCTAATACTCGTCGATCAACATGCAGCAGATGAGAGAATAAGAGTCGAGATGTTGTTGAAAGAATTTTGCGAGTATGACTCGGACCAGGCAAAGGCCACCGACTCTCGTCTTGGCATATCCATAGTTGAGACAATACATCTCAATCCGCCGGTCAAGGTTTCTCTGTCGACACGCGAAGCATTAGTGGCTCAACGGTTTATAGACCAATTCAACAAATGGGGAATATACTTTGCCTCGCAATCTACTTTACAGACATTTGATACTACATCTACAGCGGAATTGGACATATCACCTCATTTCTCCAGGCTCAATGACCATGTCACGGAACATGTTACACATCTGCCTCGTATGATAGCAGATAAATGTGTGGCAGATTCACGCGTTTTACAAGGGATAATAAGACAACATTTGTATTGGCTAGAGGATACTGGCGGAATTGGAGTGAGCGTGGATGATGACGGCGGATACACAGAGAGTGAAGAAGAATGGCCAAACATGATAAGAAGATGTCCAAGAGGAATATTGGACATTATTAATTCGAAAGCATGTAGAGGTAATATTTGAGTCGAGTCGAGGGGGAGGATTTGTTTGGATGTCAAACTTTTGGTTGCTGACAACGTATATTTTAAAGGTGCCATAATGTTTAATGACAAGTTATCCCGCGAGAATTGTATTGAATTGGTATCAAAACTTGCTGAATGCATGTTTCCGTTTCAGTGTGCTCATGGAAGGTGATTGGCTTTTTATCTGTCAGCTGTTTTCAGTAAAACTTAAAGTGTTAACTGTTGCAACTCTTATTAGACCATCGATGATTCCAGTGGTTTCCCTAGATAGTGTGCAAAAGTCCAGATTTGCTCAAAAGAAAGGTCGACATACCAGAATGTCTAGACAAGATACCGCGAGTGGCAGTAATTGTGATTTTAGAGAATGGAAACGACAAAAGTTCTCTAGCGAGATCGATTAGTGTTTTGAATTTACCCGCCATATAACACGGCCATTCGACTATCGGTTACGCCATTATTAATTATTGGGATACACTCATCCTTGGATTCATTTTTAATATGACTGATGTTCATCAGCACTTTATTACGTTTAGAGATTTTTTCTCTAACCCAAAAAAGTTATATGGAATTATTAAAATGATTCACTAAGAGAAAAATGTATGTATAGACATTAAAGCGTTTGGCAAAAAAAGTAGTTAATGCGGGGTTATAAAATGCAAGGAACTATGTACATTGAATTTAGAAATTGGTGTCTGCCTTCGTCTTGGACAATTATATGTGGGAAGGACTTTTTTGAATAAAAGGAGAGGGGTTGAAAAATGACGACGAAATTATCAGCAGAAATTGTGTAAATACAATAATCCCATATTATCCGTTACCGATTGGCGTATTTTTTTTTCAAATTAATCTGCTATTCTCACACAACATAAATTAAGCAAGTACTCTGTCCCCATTGATATTCTGAGACACCCATCAATTGAAAAAAAAGAAAAAGAAATAGTAAAGCAAGAAAAAAGAAAGATATCCACTTTTTAAACATTGTCCTTCCCGATCCAGGGAATAAGTTTCGTTCGATCAATCTTGTCCTTGGCAATTCAACTCCCACTGGAAGTGATATTAATGTTATTTGAAGTGAGAGCAGTGACATAAGGTATACTGGCAGTGCTACTGGGAGCGATACGGCTGCTACTGGAAGGGACATTAGCGGTATTGGCAGTGGTGTTGGAACTGATACTATTATGACTAGCAGGGATATTGGGAGTGGCACCATTGTTGTTGGGAGTGACATCAATGTTACTGGAACTGCCATCGATATCACCAAACAATACTACACGCAAGTATTCAGCCAACTGCAACTTGTCTGGTGGTTTAAACTTTTCCAATATGTATCTCTCTAATCCGAAAAAGTTTAACTGGTCCTGAATCAAACTTGTCCATCTTAGGTACATTCTTTCACTATAAAGACTTGCAAAAAGTTCGTCGGTGCTGTTTCGATTAGAAGCAAAACCACCAGTAGTGGAGTTATGACGACTACTTGCAGCAGACGTGCTCTTACTCGATGCGGGAATACTGGAAGCACCAGCAATCTCAGCTCGTAGCTTTCCGGAAAAGTCTTCGAATGCGACAGCCTCAAACTCCTGATCGGTCTGTACAGTCGACACCATAAGAGAATCTATCCCACGATCCATTTGACCTCGATAAAACTGCACCCAACCCAGATCTTCTAAATACTGTTCGACGTCATCAGCTACTTCTCGAAGAGCATCCCAGTCATGTGGATAATAGTAGTTAACAGCTAGCATGTTGTGAAGGAACAGACCAAATCTCTCGACAATATGCAAAACACGCTCTTGTCGACGGAGAGCCCGGCGCGGGCCCGGAGATTCAGAAGAAAGCCCAGTTGGCTCTGGCGGTGCGTTGACAATGATTAGACGTTTTGCATATTCAGTATCTAATGGAAATCGCCATTCGTTAGCTGTGCGAAGATGATGTTCGGATGGGAGGTCTTGGCTGTATAGCGAAAACCAGAGTTGCGCCGTTATTGTGTGGGGGCCTGATATCAAGCGAAAGAAAGCACATGTAGACCAAAACGCACGGAGATCTTTTGAATTATCTATATTATACACTATCAAATACAGTATTTCTATAGGTAGAGTAATCAGTGAAGCCGCCATGTTTTTTATTCGCGGCGACAGCACCCGCACGGTAATATATTAGTTGTCTCACGGTTTGACAAAAGGGTGAAAAGTAACAAACAAAATTTTTTGAGAAAGGGAATAAAGGAGAGGGAGCGAGTTGGGGTCTTTTGTAAGGCTTTTTTCAGCCGATGTTTAAACAAGGTTTGAATAAAGGCGAGTATTTCGGTTATTTAGCATTCATGTAGAGCGGGTGGTGCATGACCTGTGTACCTATTGCATCACAGATAATATGTCGATCCCACAAACAAAGATGTGGGATGACTAAATTGACCAAATTATACGCACCATGTGGACATTTCGTTTATCTGGGAAGGAGGGAAAATGTAAGTCTTATTTTCCAGCAAACAACAAGTATTGTCTAATGCGTGGGAATAAACAAAAAGTTGCCATGTACGCGCCAAGACAACTAGCGCGCGTATTTTTGGAGATGTTGGAACAAATCCTGTTTAGAATACAATACTGTATATGTCATCAGAAATAAGGCATAGAATAACGTGATGTTACTAATTTCCGTATTATGACAGCTTTTAGAGGGTCCATATTGAATGACGTAAGTGTATTGGCTTGATCTAACTCAGGGTGTTATTTAACATAGGGTGTCAAGTGGTCCGTGCTGCAACAAATGAATTTCAGATTGGGCTGTCTTGTTCTATTTTTATTGACAGCGGGTGCTAACTATTACGGACTATTTGTATTACTACTACTTGCCAGTGCTGTCATTGAGTCGAACCGTAAATGCAATCGTTATTAGAGAGAGTGACTTGTTTGTGCGTTACCCTTGGAGCCTCTATTGCACGTATTGAGCAATCGAGAACGATGATGACTCACCGGCAGCATAACAGTGGTAATGCGAGTAATAACATTCTGGCAGATAAAAAATTCGATAGAGCGAGATGATATGAATAGTAAAAATTTGGAGTTAATACGTCGAATAATTAGTAAATTGTCAATATCCTTATTTATATTTATGTTATTGTATAATTTAATGATTATCGATAAATACTTACAAGACATATCGACTCGAGTTAGACTCAGCGCTGGTAAGCATTTAAGTAACAAGTTGAAATAAAAAGAATGTGGAGCATACCGGGATATACTGTTATAAGATCTACGACTTAGGTAATATATTGTTTATATTACGCGTATTCTAAGAAGAAATAATAAGCACGTATGTCGATTTTTTTGACAACGAATCTGTAAATAGCAGAGTCTTGGAATGGGATACTAAGTATTTATTATGTAACTTGGCATTATTATTAAACCCACAGAGAGTCAACAAGCTGGATAAAAAAATGTTTGTTTGTCTGATAAATATTCAACATCTTGATGGCAAAAGTGTTTAGCAATTGAACGTAAGAGGCACGTTTAGCAATTGGATATATACAAAAAGCTAGACAAGGTACAGTAGATAAAGAAAAAGAATAGAGATTATGCATGTCATGAATTTGTTGGCGGATATTACTTATTAAAAGCAATAAAAATTTATATGTTAACCATTTGCAATTAAATCGATATGAATTGTCATTCTAAAGCTTGGTATTATAAGTAACACTTATTGTAAAACTGAAGAATTCAAGTTTAACAATTATTATAAAAGTAGAGTTAGGTGACGTATAGAACCAGTATCTTATCAGTGATAATCGCGTAACTCTTTAATCTTGGAGCATTATTGCGTCCTGATGTCAGTTTCTTACCTCTCCCTTCAAATTATAGACAAACACATTTTGGATAACGTATTTCTCCAATAATATGCGTAAACAGCCTCCCTTTCTTTTTCCTAAATGGAAAACAAATTCAGAAGCGTTTTAAATGCTTACGTGGTAATCTTTCATGACTCTCGTCAGTTATACACCATAAATTACTTAATTATAGCGATAGTACACATTAGTCAAAAATTAATTTCAGCCAATTTTCATACGAATTTCTTGCCATTTGTGAACCTTGAAAGATCGGTTTGTGAAAACTGGTGGATTGAAATTGTTTAATAATGAAGTCAACGTGGTTGTTTTTTTCTTATCGCATTTTCCCGAAACCGAAAAGCCAGTTAAAGCCAAGCTCATTTATTTGGAGATATTAATAATTAATCGACTCACTATGAGGTATGACAAATCTGTAGTTCTTTGTTAATAAGATCTCTTTCACGGAAAGTCCCGTTTTTAATCGGGCCGATTGTCCATGTGACCCGCAGTATACCAGCATTTTCACAGTCTTCAAATAATGTAATAGGTGGGTTCGAATAAGTAGGCATAGATTAAATCCTTATATGTTGTTAAATACATATGAGAATAATTACAAAGTGCCTAGATGGTTAATATATCACACACGGTTAAAATATCACACATGGCAAAAAAAAAAAGCCGTCACACGTCTTTATACATTGCTGTATCGCTTGAAAAACAACAAGTCGAGCTCACAATTGCTACGGACATACATTATTCTACGAGCTGATTTGTAAATATAGGAATTCCGAGAAAAATCACGTTCATTTCGACGTGCGATTCTTAATAAAGAATTTCAGCGTACAACTTTATTGCCAAGCCAGTATTAATTCTCATGTTGGTAATACAACTAACTCAAATCACAAGTACAATACATGAAAGCAAATGAAAGTTTCATAGCGAGTCGTCATTAACGTATTAAACGTATTAACCGTAAGTTACATATGACGTCGAAAAAAGCTGGTTTGTATAGGTATAAAATTTCCTCTTTTCGTTAGTTTCCATAACGATAATACCAGGTATTTTATAAATGAGACTTTAAATTCTCTCCAACCCATCAAATTGTTAAAAGAAAACTCTATTCTTAACTTGTCGAGTTACCAGTTACAGCATGACGTTATCTATACGCGGACACTTTCTTGGGCGCGTATTATTGAGAGATTATATCGAATATACCAAGAGCAACAATATTCATATTTATAATCGCAATCATGATGCCCAAATGTTAAGAACAGAAAGTTTGTTGTTCGATTTCCTATAATTGGCAATACGACTCAAACATATTTCGTATATCAACACAATCTACCTTTAACTGTATTCTGTTCAAGGATCTTGCTAATTCTCGAACGCCGCTTGTCAGTGGAATTGGCGATGGTATTAAATGCTCAAAATGCTGACTAAATTATTAAACAAGTGGAACAAGACGTGAGCACAATGCTAAAGCTGTTTCGATGGAATGCTTGATAATCTTCATTCAGACATGTAACATAATACGTATCAGTTGCACGTAGTCGTCATTCCCATTAAACCAAAGATTGTAACTCGACGACTGTCATACAAATTATTGTGTTTCACATGTAACCCGGAGACTAAGTTTTAATTATCCCGTCCCCGTTAATCTTGCAATTATTTACAAAATTCAGCATTTTGTGGCTTGATGTCATTCCTACATTAGGCTGGCAAGTGGCTTAAATGGTAACGTATTCAGAGTATTCCCCACCCCATAATAATAAGGCAGCGTATTTTACAATGGAATCCCCAAGGTTAGTATGAATGAAAGTCGATAATTTAACAAACAAAATATCATCGTTCTGCTATTGGATACGGCATATAATTTACAAGAGCATTATTTCCTTTATAACATAATTTTCTTGTCTCTTCTGAACACGACAGCTATTGCGCAAAATCGTGTATTCGTTTAATATGTGTTGTAATTGCGAAATTTGTAATTCCAACGGTTGTTATCACGAACGTTAGAACTTTGGTTACAGCCAATCTCTCTCTTTGCTATGTAGCGGGTTTGAACAATACTAAGTATTACACCACTATGTACAATGATAGAATTTTCCAACACTATTTTTGTGGCCTTGGACACTTTGAACGGACAAACAAGCTTTGAACTTAGATTCGGTAATTGCAGAGGAAAAGTTATTAGTGGTGTGTGTTTATAATAGAATGCATAAAAAGAGTTGTACGAACACATATGCCCAATTTTGGGCAGACGTTACATGGGTCTTGTGCTTAGTGGTAGAAACGAATGTTCCGTGAAACGAAAGTTGGAGATATATCATTTAATTAACAGAAAGTTTTACATTTAATGTTTCAGGTAACAATATTTGTTACAAATATACGGACGTATGTAAACCAATTATTTAAATTTATGGTTTCTGTCATATTGTTATGCGATACATCAGTTCATTTGGCTGTAATAATAGCTAGACCAAAGCAGGAGCGAGCAAAGAGGAGGGCGATTCTTTATCTCGAGGTTTAACAACAATGATAGGAATAATAAAAGACTACAGTCAATTCGACACTGCTGATTGGTCGATTAGCATAGACATCGATTGTATTGTGAATGCGGAATGGTACTAGCACCGAATCACTCGTGCAATCAAACATAGTCAAACTTTACGAGTTACTAATAATAACTGATCGACCAATACACATAGGATTAGAAACCCCTTGTAAGCGACAATATACTCAGTTTTACCCCAACCAACTATATTAGTGGTCCCCATTCATTTTTGTAGGCTGAACGTCGTGTTTAGCATTTGAGCTCCCCTCCCCCTTTCCCATAACCTTAATTGTGACTGGTGGGAAAAAAATGAAAAAGAAAAGGGAACAATTGGCAAAAATTGGGTATTTACGAAAAATTTATCGAAATTCAAGAATGGAACACTTTTTAACTTGGCTGTTACGCCATAATTCTCAGGTTGAGCAATTTAGGGTGTTATGGTAGACACAGGACTTCCGTAATTGAATTGCAGTCGAACAATACACAAACTTTAATATGACGCTAAATCTTGTTTAACGACTACGCTGCTACAAGAACATAATCTTGGCGCATTGAAAACGAACTGTTTGCACGTACAAGGCGTGCGACAGTGCGTTCTTTAGTATAGCCGTGGCGGTCATTTGATAGTGTTACAATAGTAGGATGGAGAATTATAGGATGGGGGATCTTTGCCATCCATAATAATACTTACACAGACGGTTATCGGCTTCTAGGCTTCTAGATTTGTTATCACATGACATGCCTTTTGTCACCAGATAACAATGTTTACACATGTTTTATTAATATATATATTAATAATGAACCAGCTCCTATGCTATATTAATATACATAGTCGGGGAGATTTATTTGCGGTCCGATGGGCGCTAGAGGAATGCATCCGTTTTAGGAAAGGTTTGTCGGTACAATTCCAACCAATGGCAAATTTAGTATCCATTTTTGTCAATAGCATCCTTGGGCTTATCGTGATATATCGATATTTTAGACAGATAAAGATAATCATCTTAATAATAGCCTCAATCTAATAATCCCAGGTTGACTTCTTGCATTCTGTCGTGTAACCTGAAACCCATGAGAAAAAAAAAAAAAAAAAACTCAATCGCGCATTACTTGCTCGTCGGGAGGGGGATGTTTGATGTTTCATCCACTCTTCCAGTAGTAACTGGTCGGGAAACGTTTTCCTGACAATGACTTGCCCGTTTAGGATGATCGTGGCTAAATTTGAACCGTAATTAGACATTGATTAATTAAATACAATTCAGTCTACGGTGAAACCAGCCAAAATTGACACAGCCTAATGGATCTGCAGTTGTCGCCGGTATGATATTTTGGGCATATAAAGCAATTTATTACTTATATTATTTAATTAAGCGCAGAACAGTCAATTGGTCATCTGACAAAACGGAAAGCTCATGCTCGGATTATGCCACGCTGCTTACACATTGATATTAAAACGCTACCTGCATGTTAGTTATCTTGTATCGTATAGCGTGTTTTTCATTATTGTTACCGAACTATCGAATTATCGAAACACGATCGATGGCAATGCTTTTGAATACAGGATTCATAAACATGGTATTTTTGCAATTTTTTATTGGCCCCCTCAGGTTTCAACTTTATAAGCCTGGTATATTGCGCCAGCAAAATAAACTTGTTTAGAAACCTGTTTCTCAATCCGAGTCGAGTATCACCGATTGCAGATTTTCAGCATGTTTTTGTGCGATTCATTGGAAAGCGTAGATGTGAGCCGCTTAATTTGTAGAGGGCGTTTTTTATTTTTGGCTTGCGTTTGTAAATGAGCATTGGAGTGAGACAATTCGCAGGCTCTGCGTACATTCAGTCACATTTAGACTGAATTCAAGTAATTAAAAGGCAAATTTGTTTTTGTGGGCCTAGTTTACTTAAAGTACTATGAATATTCAAAATATTAAAATTTTTTTCTGACGGGTTTATTTGTTGATCGACATGTTGCATTACCATACATGGAAGTCGTCTAACTTTAACTATTCTTGAGTGGATAATAATAAGCAAAGATCGAGAACAATTAGACATTGGACGATAATGCTAGCTAGCGAGATATGAAAATGGCTTGTAGATAAAATAGGAATGTATTCTACGCGCATTCTCTTTATCATGGCCCGTCCCAAGATGCTTTGTATGCTGGGTAGCGTGATACACGATACACCCCCCCTACCAAAAGGTTCTCTGGAATATACTAGTAAAAACATATGAAAATCAATGGTGTAGGTAAATAAATAAATATATATGTATGTTTTCGTATACTAGTATAATATATGTGTAACCGACTTATTTACTACCACTTCATCGAACTGCAGGACTAAGCCACAGCAAGTAATAACATGACCAGAGACATAAGCCACCCACCTAAGCAATCCCTGCTTGGCAGAATTTGCTAGAGTTACTATTTTAAACATTGTTCGTATTGACGTTTGATTATCATGCCTATATATCGTATCAATGACCATGTTAGTATAGAGACACTGTTTCCTAATGTTTCTCAGAGATCCAATCGACACACTATTTGTTACCCCACATATTTCTATTGGGTTCGATCTGAGTACTATTTTTAGAAACAACTTCACACAATCTTTTCAATTCTATAAATATACATACAAATACATTTCATATAAATATAAATACAAATATATATAAATATATCAAGACCCTAAATATAACAAACAATCCAATAAGATATCGGTTTATTCAACATTTTGTTGGTGCTATACTTCCGTCCCCTCTCCAACTTAATACTCAGGAGCAAATCCCTAAATAATACCTTCGAGCGTACTTGCCTACATTCTCACTTACCTTTTTTACATATACCTTACACTCTTAATTTGACATTTACTTTGTCCTTTTTACAAATTCGCTACCTGCATCAGTCGTATTCGCAACAAAAACTCTATTTCGTGCTCAATCTTGGACTCTACCTGGTCTTTGCTGTTGATGGGAGAATATCCACTTCCATACCTACATTCTCTTAATTCACCTACACAACAGCCGGAAGTTCGAATACTGTGGAAACATGGCTGCTCCTACAGAGCATAACCCAGATGAGACTACGCTAAATAGAAAAGAGGCGACTCCTGCTTGTGCAAAGTGTGGATTATTAATAATCGGACACTTTGTTAGGGCATTAGGAGGGACTTATCATCTAGAGTGTTTTAAATGTCAGGTAAAATAAAGTTTTGAACTAATGAGAATGTGGAATGCGGAAAGTGATTGCGTTGTAGAGAAGATATACTATAGCGAGGAAAAGGACTAGAAAGAGAGGTGGAATTGAAAGAAAGATTAAAGTGCAAGTGTTTTAGCGTTTAGAGTGTTTGTGACTGCAAGTACTGGAGAAATAAGAGGAGAAATTGGGGAAAAAAAAAGCAAATTCGAGCATAAATACAAAAAGTATCGACAGGATTATGAGAATATTAACGCATGTATGTCTTAATAGAATGCTTCTGCTGTGGGTGAGAGAAGAGAGTAAAATGTGGAATTTTAGTTAAGTAGAGAAAAAAAAAAGAGCGAGAAAGAGAGACAAGATTAATCGGAAATTAGACTACGCGCAATGAACCTATTTTACCGATATATAACACACAATTATCTTGTTCGATTCTGTATATTCATATATCTTTTCTATTTCTCTCTCTCTCTTTTTAGGATTGCGGTGAAATAGTAGCATCTAAATTTTTTCCTATGGACAGTCACGATGGCAAACAATTGCCGTTATGCGAAAGAGACTATTTCCGTCGACTAAACCTTATCTGCGCTCAATGTGGAGAGGCATTACGGAGTTCTTACATAACTGCGCTTGATAGGAAATATCACATCGAACATTTTACTTGCTCCGTGTGTCCAACTGTGTTTGGTCCACAGGATAGTTATTATGAACACGAAGGGAAGGTTTATTGTCATTACCATTATTCAACACAATTTGCGGTCAAGTGTACTGGGTGTCAGACGGCTATTTTGAAGCAGTTTGTGGAGATTAATAGAAATTTAGTTGATGAACATTGGCATCCCGAATGTTATATGATACACAAGGTAGGTGTCATAATAACGAAAGAAAAATTGTAGGTGTGGGTGTGTGTATGGACACGTGTGGGTGTGGGTGCATGGACGTGTGTGTGTGACTGGTGGGTGTGTGATTTGATGAATTGTTTGAGTTCGTAAATTATAATGGAATTATTGAGACTGATAGAATATTGCTAATATCACTCAATACCCATCAAGTATCACCTTGTTAATAGGATTCGTATTAACTTGATATTTACATTGTATCAAAATTACTCAGTTTTGGAATGTAAAGCTTGCATCACCCCCTGTATCTAAACCTTACGAGCTATCAAAAGGTATTAATCTTGATTACTGTCTCAATCAATGCATTTGTTGCATCACTATATATAATGAAATATACTCTTGCTTTTCAAGATCAAGCAGACACAGCATACGCAGAAAAGCTTAAACAAGAACAAAAATCCACGGAAGAGAAAGTATATCATATCTGGACAGTATTGTCAGCATTTGAAGAATCTTCAGCTGCCTGTATTTCAGATATGTTACTACGTGTTTCAAATGGCTCGTATATAGAAGGAGTAAAAATAGCCGAAAAATTTATAATGCATGTGGAAATACTGTTTAAAGCAATTGATAAATTGGAAGTAGAATTATTCAAAGCAATGGGACAAGGTAAGTTACAAAGATGGGTTAATCGGAGAATCGTAACAGAGTATGTTTTTGCAGACATGTTTTGTAACATGGACAAGTTTTATACAAAACTTTTATCTATTGAGAAACTCTTTTATTCTAATCACCTATCCGTTCAATTATAGGGCTTCAGCATAACCGAGAGGCCAAAATGTTGTGCAAGAAAATCGTAAACTTTTTTTCATTGCTCTCACATACCCAAGAGACTGGAGTACGGCGATTAGGCATAACGCAGGAATTACTATCACTAGTAACCGGTCTAGCACATTATTTGAAGTTATTAATACGCATTGCATTAACCGGTGCATTGAAACTGGTAGGCGTCTGTTTGAATTTTAAGACAGAAATTTTGATTACAAGACAGATAAATAGTCGAACAAATGGATATAAATAATATTTTCTCGAAATACTTATTTATTCTTTTCACTACCAAAAAAAAAGGAACGTGACTTTATGTCAACGACTTCAATTTCATTCTTCCTAGCAACCCTCGCGGAAATTTCAACAAAGGCACACACCATTCCTATAATCGATACGTCCCCGACCTCAGACCTATGCAACGCATGTCGGGTTACTGTCGAGGAGGAATGCTACAAATATGAACAATTCAGATACCATATTGCTTGCTTTAGATGTGGTCGGTGTAAAGCCGACTTGGCTCGAGCTGAGAATAAGCTTTCAATTAAGAATCAATATGGAGATAAGAAGGGAGATGATGGGAGGGAATTGAACGATGCATACTTTGATTTGATGGCGGAAATGGCGTTATGTCCTAGTTGCAAAACTGAAAGAGCTGCGAGAGGGTTCAAGAAAGTCACAAAGCTGGAACAGTATACATATTTATTAAGAGTGGCACTTTCGAGATTATATACTTCGTTAAATAGACGAGGTTGGTATACAAAATGGGTGGGTGGGGGGAGTAAGCATATAAATGATTTTATGCTTGCGCTTGTCTGCAAAAATTGAAGACAGCATGTCTTGCTCAATTCCGAAATATTTCTAACCGAAACTTTCAATCCCACCGCAGATGAGCACTCCCTTTCAGACTATGATGGAGAACCACGCGGTCGCAGATCCGAAAAAGAATCTGTATCGTCACTCGGTCGAAAAGACTCTCGCTCCAAATCCTACTCGAGCGGCGACAGACACGACCAATCTATCAATCTGAGAAGATTAAAGTCCGTCCAGCTTGATCGCAAACTATCCACTTCTGCACGTCGTGCTAAACGATCGACGATAATCGAACAGGAATCTAATTCGTCAGACTCCACGCTTGTCAATGCACGGAGTAAAAATCTCGCAAGAGCACCGTCACAAAGGCGAGTGCAGATCATCGAAGATATGGATGAATTTCAGGCGAAAGATTCACTGGTACAGTTTGATAACAGAAACGAAGCTATAACATTAGATGACATATCCGCAATAGCTATCGCTGTTGATGAAGAGAAAAAGAACAAGAGGCTTATGCCAAGAACAAAGTGCTATTTGTCAGAATTATCGGCTTTGGAGTATGTTATCGTCAAACATGTTGCAGTTGTGGTTATGGAACAGTATTTGAAAGACTACTTTACCTTGGAAGAACTATTGGATTTGATTGGCGTAAGGAGGACCAATTTCTGGACCAAATTTGTAACAACAATCAAGAGTTCGGAAAAGAAGAATATAAAAAAGAAAGGTAAAAAGAAGCTAATTTTATTTAAAGGGGGGGGGAGGGCGGTAAGTCTTACTTTGAATAAGATAATATGGTTCTTTCAAGTGCATGACTTTATAAAAGTCATTATTTCTTCTCCACTTTTGTTTATCTAAACTTACCCTCCTCCATTCATTCATAGGCACTTTTGGCGTACCACTAGACATGCTAGTTGAGCGTAATGGCGTCGATTCGGTTCTGGGCGCTGGACCCGGATGCATTAGAATACCCAGCTTTGTTGATGATGGTATATCAGCAATGAGAAGAATGGGTATGTTGAGAAAGCCTTCTGGGGGATACTGTCTGACAATTTTTGCATTTTTGACTCTTTAACTTATCGTTTATTCCCCATTTGGCGTGATAGACATGTCTGTCGAAGGCATATTTCGTAAAAACGGAAATATTCGACGACTCAAAGATCTCAGTGATGCAATTGACAAGAATCCGTCTTCAGTCAATCTGGCCGAGGACAATCCGGTTCAAGTTGCTGCATTATTGAAGAAATTTTTAAGAGATTTACCGGATCCATTGTTGACGTTCAAGTTGCAAAGGTTGTTTATTACTTCACAAAGTGAGTAGAAAAACTCGTATGAAACTATGAGGGATTGGGAAACCACTTTTTTCATACTTATCTAACTTGCCCGTTTTTTCCCCAACTTTAGGACTAGCAGATAGCCAAGCTAGGAAAAAAATTCTACACCTAACATGCTGCCTCCTCCCAAAAGTAAACCGTGACACAATGGAAGTACTCTTTAGCTTTTTCAAATGGGTTGCATCTTTCTCACATGTTGATGAAGAAACAGGATCAAAGATGGATTTACATAACTTGGCTACGGTGATAACGCCGAACGTTTTGTATTCAAAATCAAAAGATCCATCAAAGGATGATTCGTTTTTGGCTATTGAGGCAGTGCATTCATTGTTAAAGTACCAAGACGACTTTTGCTTGGTAAGTAAGGTTTGGGGGAATTGGGGGAAAGGAGTAGGTGGGATAAAGCATGTTAAAGCATGTTGGATACGGAAATAGATTTGATATATCTAACGGTTATGAATTATCCGACTCTTTCTGATTTCCATAAATAGGTTCCCGAAGATTTGGCAGCTATTTTAAATGATCAGGAGTTATTCAACAATCCGGAAGGTCTTACGACCAAAGACATTTTAAAAAAATGCGAAAATTTCGTTCGTATGAATTCGCAACCGGCAGATAGTGTACCGCGAATGACATCGCAACAATATCGATCACAGATGCATAACCCGTCACCAAGAATTGCCCAGCACCATACCGCACAGAATGAAGAAGACTTGGAAGACTATGCTGTTATTACACATCCTTCAGAGATGCAAGCTACGGAATTCGAAACAAGAGATTCATCTAATGGTTCGATTTATTCCTTAGTCAACGAGAGCTCCATTCCGGTAGAGCAAAGGGCTTCGTGAAATTGTAGTTTGAATAGGAAAGGAGAGAGGGGTAATAATGTTTCGATTCGCTGGACCGTAAGGCTAATTCATATTTAGTGTGGTAATTTGTGGAATTTAATTTTCAAAGTTAAAGGAATGGAGATGATTTTATATTTTTCTACCATTCAATCCAATTTTCATTTATTTTATTTTTCTTTCTTTTCATAATTGCTCATATTGTCATTCTCTTATCTTGAAATTATCTTAATCATTGTTTATCTACAATCATTTTCCCTCCTCTCTTCTTTGGTGATCATTGTATCCATTCTATCCATATTTATCTCCACTTTATATTTTTCTCTTTCTTTTCTTCCCGATGTGCTGGAACACAAAGTGGATTAGACGGGGTATGCATTTTTGGTGCGGGATGGATATTTTATGATGTTTAAATCTGTATTTATTTGTTTCATTACACTCATTATTTTAGAGCTTACTTATTTAGGAACTTTGTATTTTTTCTTTCTTTCTTTTTTCGAGTCCGATAATATCATATGACTGATGGACGACGGTCTATCGTCAGTAAATACGCATTTTCACGTTTATGATTTTAATGATACAAAAGTTATGTAGTAAAAGGAATGTCCATTTAAACACTACAGTCATGGATAATAAGAATTATCCAAATTTGTAAAAAGCTTAATGCGTCATATAAATTGAAATTTTTTTAAACAAAAATCTGTGTCAACATTTCAAATGTCTCGTCGAATCAATTGCGCATCATTTTCGAAATTTAACGTTCGCGACACTATCGAACTATTCATTACTGAACGGCGATTTATTCAGTTCCACCAAAATATCGACAATCTGACGGATAAATTGTTACCTACTTTTTGGCAAAAATGGTCATCAATAATGGTAATGTTTCAACCTTTCCCAAAATTGCTATTCCCTTGCCTTGATAATCTTATAGGGAAAATAAAATTCGCATGTCCATCAATACCAATTATAGATAACAAGACACATCGGAGTTTACCATGTGACAGCAAGCAGATCTTTCAGCGATATTAATATCCATAACCAGAACAAAAAATTTTTAATTTGTAAAGTGAAAAATATCAATTGTGACAAGGATTTATTATTAGCATGCATGACCATATTGGGAAGAAAAAACAATATTATGCATAAGGGGCTAATTATAGCAACCAATAAACTTGGCAACTGCGTCGTTGAACTGTTGCAATGCAAATGAATTATTAAATGTTCTGTCATGTCAAATTGTCCAAATCATGCATATTTACCCACATGTCTGTTGTAATTGTTATCTTTTTACGAAAAAAGCTCAGATTGATGACAAATAATGTCAAAGCACTGCACCAGGACAGTATCTACTGCTGTCATGTCGGACACGTGCACCTTGCGCAGCAACAATTTATGCATTGATTATCCAGGTTGCTTAACGGAAAAGAAGGTGGTACCAGTTGCCGGCAAGTTTTATGATCCAACAACGGGAAAGGCTTTAATGAACGCTGTACAGTAATGTATTAGTATGTCATTTTGCATTAAAATTCTAATATTGATTTATACAGCATTCTATTCTTTTAGAAATAACATTTACTTTAAAATAAACCGGAAACATAATTTAAAAGAGTGAATATCGTTTGTTGTTAAGACATGGAAACGCCGCAGATATTATTTTAGATAGCATGATTCATTTTATAGCGTATATATTTATCCACAGCAATTCTGCAATTTACGCGCCTTATGTGACGTATGTAGGAATTAGTTTCCCCAACTTGATCTTGGAAGCTAAAATTAACTTAAAAGATAGCATCAATCCGCAATTGAAACTTTAATATTATAAATAACTTCATATGCTGCGCCTGCACTTGTCCGTATGTGGTATAGCAGATTATTAATTTTCTTTTGGTTACATCCACTCGGTTTTTTTTTGTTAATACCACAGGAGTTACTGTAAAATGTTTAAAAAATAAAAGTTCTGGTGACATTCTTGCAGTTTTTGCAAAGGCGTGTGTTCTCTAAATAAGCAGGTTATCAGAAACTCTCCGCTTAAATATTATTTAGAGATAATAAGTATCCGATTTTGTTATGCAATTAAGCCTCAGTATTCTATCGACTTTGTCGCGATATCGTTTATACCTGGAAATAAAATAGCTAACTTTAACCCAAAGGCTTTTTATATAGAAAAACTAATCTGTAAGAACGAAGCAGAATTAAAGTTACGATTTAAAATAAAAAAATTTTCGAGTTTAGGCGTTTGAAAAGTAACAGTTTCTTAACCGTTTGTTAGTTCCTGTGTACCAATCAGTTAGCAAGAAAGTCGCACATAAAAAAGTGTCTCGCAATTGAGCGACAATTCATTAAGCGGAAAAACGATGAAGTAAGTGATTGGGGAAATATATCCAGAACAGTACCAATTATGCATCAACGTTCACACTATTTGGTATACTCTCGTCTTTGATACGCCATTTTCAGTAACTTGGGAAGCTTTCTACTGAAGATGCGCCTCGATTTGCGATTCAGATAATTGTGGCGTCGTTAACGCCAAGGTTGTTTAAGTTCAATACTATGATCTTTGGTTGAAGTGGAGATCGGATACCAAATTAGCAGACGTGGTCCTTATTGTTATAAATTAGGGAAAATACTAAAATCGACGCATTGTGACAAATGGGGGCCGGGTAGTTCACCGAGAAGAAAATTTTAAATTAGAAACGGTTTTTTTTTTACCAAAAAGCAACCAAAAAGTTGAATTGGGAACTTTCTTCGCCATCGGAAAACACAGTTTTAAGAGGAAAATGATTAGAGGAGAATGTTATATCTTAAGAAACTATTTTTGAGTGTTCTGTGCGTTTACTAAAAGATGAGAAAAAAATGAAGGCAAATATGGAGGCAGCACAGATGTTATAGAACAGTAATATCAAGTCATAAGTTCTACTCGAATGATAGAAACACGGAACGTGGGCCAAAGCAGATGAGTTGTCGTTGTGTAAAAAAGATAACGGGAAAATTATGGTGAGTAATTTTAACTAAAGCTTGTGGAGACTTAAACTTACTACTAAACGTACTGAGAATTATCCTGATGTTTCAGAAAAGGCTCGACTACATTTAAAACGAAGAAGGATACTGGACACCTTGTTGAGCAAGTGAAATATACTATATTTGAGCCAAATTGCGTTCGTTGCAGTACTTGACTTTGATAACAGTTCAAGTCATTCTGCATTTGCCTCTCTGATGCATTGGTTGCGAAGAGAATGAATATTGGACCTGGTGGAAATGCACTGAAAATGCGGGACACTTTTTGGGTAATGTTGTGGAAGGACTACCGGACTTTTTGTCATGCTTGTATATTTTTTTCCCACAGCGAATTGAATTTTATTGGGGAGTGAGCAGCGAACGATACGCACGAAATAATACATGGGAGTGGATTAAGAAACAGTTCCTCGTGCTCGATTCTGTTAATTTAATAACCATCGTAGGGATATATGGATTTTGAATTACGGGCAAGTCGACAGAGTATGCTGCTAAAAAATATATATCGCACAGAAGAATACCAGTTCGATCAGCTTTCTTAAACCGGATATCAAAGAAATGTAAATAGGTATGTGGGACTATCAAAATTATCATTTGTTGTCATACCATTGGGATCATCACTGTCGTGATCAAATTAAAATTTCTCATGATCGCATTAAGCGCTATTTTGATAGTCCCCCATGTCTGTTCAATAATTTAATTATGACAATCAATTCAAGTCCTCATTATGATTTCAGAGAATTTTATTGGGCAAATGTCATGTGATTTATATTGATAAGCACAATATTTATATTTACTGGTTTAGGACACGAAACAGAATGTTCTGAAACATGTGATATAGTGCGCCGTATAAAATTCCCACAATTGACTTGATTTTTCATCCATCTTTCGAAATGGACTGGATCGAGCTAATTAAGGATCCTGTTAGCTTCTCTAGTCAAAAGCAGGAAATCTTCGAGCATAAAAAATTACCTAAAGTGAAGGATGCGGTTTCAGTGACTTTCCGAATAAGACTCAAGACTCATTCTAATGATTGGGCCACTATTTTTCACAAAGGTATGCAAGGCTTTCGTCGACGAGATTATTAGGCGATATCAATTGAATTTACCTTATTTATGTTCCTCCGGATTTAATAAATAAGGTACCGGAGATTATGATATTACTCCCGGAGTTTGGCTATCAGGCGGCACATCCCACTTGCATGCTCGCTTCACTGGCAACTGGATTGCCAATACAGGAATTGATGCGGTCGAAGGCGGGCTTTTGTTAGGCAAATGGTACCATGTAGCGTATACACTGTCTGACACTGAAAAAAGGTTGGACGTCTACGTTGACGGTGAATGGCGTGCATTAGATGCTATCGTCAATGTGCAGTCGGAGCAAGTTATTTTCAATAAAGGCCCGTTGTATATTGGACGTGCATATTCTTGGGATTCATTCAATGGCGAAATCAGGTAACCTTCTTTTTTTTTAGTACTAATGCATTCATGTTAGACGTAAACTCTAACGAATGTTTTACCACCCAGTAATTTTCACTATTTCAATTGGCGTTTATCTGCTGATGAAGTGATAAAAGACTCCATGAACCAGTTATCACCTGCGATTCCATTACCACGATCAGCGAAGCCATCACATTCACATTCACAGGCTGGTTCGTATGCACTGCCGGGAAATGCATATCCGCAGGCAAGTTCGTACGCGCCGCCGCCGCCATATTCGCCATATACAACGGGAAATCCATACTCGCAGCCAGGTTCATTCGCGCCGCCGGGTAATCCATATTCGCAAGCAGGTTCATATACACATCAATATACACGGACAACTTCATATCCAGCGCCGAAACACGAACATGGGCATGCAAAGTCGTCACATGAACATGGGTATAAAAAGTCGTCAAAAAAGTCATCAAAAAAGTCATCAAAAAAGTCATCAAAGGGTCACCACAAGCGTTCAAAATCAGGATCTTCATCTTCATCGTCATCGTCATCGTCGTCTTCCGATTAGAATGCATACAAGTTTTATTTTTAAAGCATGTATTTTAATAACTTATTAAATTATCGTTCGAAAATGCATCTTTCAGAATACACTCAAGAAATGTTAATAAATTTAATACTAGTTGAGTATAGCAGTTATTACATGCGCAATATTTACCATTACATTTTCAAATTGTCACAGTCCACGTGATCACTTTTGGGCAAGTTTTTCATTTTGAACGTGTAATCGGTGACACATAATTAATTGACAGACGCCTCTCAGAGAATAGAAGAATGTATTGCTAATAATTGTTAGCCAACCAACGGGATACTAGTATTTAAAAAAAATACGGAATAAACCAACCCATTTTCAAAAACCGCGTAAACTTATTTCCAACTAGTGTATGATGAAAACTGATGAATCGTTTACTGTATTTATATTGCCAAAAATTCAATTTGTCAAACTTGATTGATGATACTTTATTAAAATGGCACCAATTTGTAAAGTTATATAGACACAGCCCAGAATTTATCACCATCTTCTCTCTGAATCTTAAATGATTTTCTTATTTTTTCAACAATCCCAAGCCACAAACCTGGATACTTATGCTCCAACCAAGATTTTGCATTTTCCAGTTGCCTTTTGTTTTCAAAATACAAAAGAGCAGTCGTGTCATGCACCCAGTGCCATCTACTAAATAATCCCAATTTAAATTCACAAAAGCATTCCATCAGTGTTTCTTTTCTATAACACCAATTACTAATAATATTACCACTGATCTCAAGAGTATATTTGTGATTTGAAAAATCAGGTCCGGTGATATACAGTATGTGAAATGCATGTAGTAATTATCCAACGATACCACGTACATAAGACAAAAGCTTTTCAAGTTTACTAGACATTCCTGTGGAAAACAATGGCAAATTTGACCCACATTTTCGATCTTCCGATTTTCTCCTCTCAATAGTCGCCATCGCCACCAACTAGCAATAATATACAATGTCTTTTAGTAAGTAAGGAACGCATTGCACAGCGAATAATTTTAATTCACATCCATGAGACCTAGCTCATAACGTATCATTAGGTGGCGTAACAGAGCCGACAACAACAGCGCTGCTCATTCTTCGTCCTTGTAAAACTGTCGTGATAAGTAGAGTTGCTTGTTGTCATAGACATTTACATTTTCCTAATTGACCAACAACTTTTGAACCCTCAATAAAGAGGTTAGAGTTATCAATAAAACGTGGACAGAATTGTCTGGAGATCTTGCTACAAGAGAAGAGATTCCCTTCATAAGTATAATGAAACCAATAAGGTTGACAAATGAAACAAATATACCGTAGAGCACTGAATATAGTACCCCCAAGTTTTTGAATTGTACCCGGGGGATGTATCCGGGGTACTATGTATGGAGGAGGGTACTATTTTAGGGGGGTACTTTGAAATTCCTCGCATTGTACTACAGTCGGAGAGATTTCCAAATCTGTAGATCAGTTTCTAGAATAATCTGTAGCCGTACTCGAAATCTGATTGGTGTTAACATAGAGAATTTGTTATCTCAAATACTCCGAATAAAAAATCGAAACTAACGATAATAACATACTCTTACAAACGTACAGTTTCAGAATCCTCAGGGATCCCCTCAACTTTACATAGTAGTTTTTTATTAATTTGAGTTTAAAGTTACGCCTTGCTCTACAATGAACACAAAAGTAGCTGCCAAAAACTTACCTTGTCTGTTTGAGTCTCTTGCCAATGAATATGACAAAAGTCAGTTAACAAGATGTGAGACTAAACAGAGTCAAAAATGATGACATGCAGGAGCTAGTGCTGCAGCAGAGAGTATAATAGAAATGGCTAAGTATTTTCCTGGATTATCTGTATTACTTGACTCTCTAGATTGTTACTCTTTATGTGAAAAGCATTACAATCAGATTGTTGTTAAAGTCTTTTATTAAACAAACTACTAAAAAGAATGATTCAATTGTTTTAGATTTCAAAAAAACAGAGCGAAAAAGACCAAGATTATCTAACGATAACGATTCGCTGCAATTTGGGAAAACTTATACTGAATTCGGAGTCCAAGTATCCTTGACAGATCCAGCATACAAAGTGCTTTTGAAAAGGGTACACAAACTAGAAGATTTGAATAAGCAACTGTTATCTGAGAATGTGGCACTGAAGCAGCAATTGGATGAAGCGTTTGCTGACCAACAAGGCCGTATTAGGACTGTGACGGAAATTGCTAAGAGAGAACGAGGTAATTTGTATGATGATATAATAAGTTTGATGAAAAACCATGAGCAATTTGGTTTAGATAGTCTTTTAGAATATTCTCCTTCCAAATGGCTTGCTGAGCGAAATCCAGTCGTTGTGAAGTTTATTGAGACTCTTACTCATAACGAAAAGGAAGATCAACATAACAGGGAAAAGCTTTTTAAGTGCGCCATAGCAGTTGATGCCATATATGGATCAAGACACTTAAAATACGTCTCTGCTATCAATTTGGCTGCTTCAGCAATTAAATATTCAGTAGCAAGATCAAGAATGGTTATTGACATTGATAACCATATTATGAACTCCGGTTGCTATAAGAAGTTTACTAACTGGTTAGAAAGTTTAGCTGTAGAACAGCCACAGCTTCCCAAAGGTTTCTTGTTTTTAGCTTTTGATAATGAACAGAAAGGTCAAAAGAATTACCTAGATTGTGGATGGAATAGTCATGTTCCATATTGTTACAAGTTTCGTTGCTCTCAATTAAGAAGACATCACTAGGCATCTGGCAACCAATTCCAGTAACATGTGAAGAAGCAGATAATCAAAAAGATGAAAGTTTGTTAACAAAATCACAACTTTTATCCATTATTAACTCTTTGATACCCCTTTTAGGTGATTTAGAATGATCCCGTTTTCGAGATTATCAAGTAAATCCCACAATGATTTAATGAGCGTTCTTCAGGATGTTAGAAATATGTTATCCGAAAGTATTATTAATACTAGTAAAGAACAATAGTTGAAGGTTTAATATATTTAATAGCATTATTATGCTTTCAGACCTTTTTTTCTCGAATGTTCTGTAATAAATCTAGAAATTTCTAAAAAAATTTTACCACTATAAAAAGAATGATCTGCATCTCCAAATCCGGAAATCTCACGGACTGTACTACAGGTCAAACCTGTTTAAACCGGCGCTGATTAAACCGGTCTCGGGTTTAACCGGCCGCCTCAAGACTACACCAAACTTTCATTAATTAGAAACTTTCTCTAGTTGAACAATTTTTTGAACCGGTCCTTAGCTAAACCGGCCAAGAATCGGCAAACCAGGTCCGCCGGTTTAAACAGGTTTGACCTGTATTACCATAGTATATGTAACACGTGACGTACGATAAACTATTTGTACCCAGGTACATTTCAAAAACTTTACCAAAAATTCCTGAATTGTACCCGGGTTCTAATTTAGGGGAATACTATTTAAGGGGGGTACTATATTCAGTGCTCTACGGTAGTATTTACTGATTTTGTTACGGCTCACTTACCAGCAACGGGTTGTTCTACGATAACGTAAATGCGATTGTTGGGCGAGTTTGACGAGACGATAAGAAGCAGGAAAGAAAAGCACAAGAATAGATAAGTATTCAGTATTATTGGCAATATGACAGACAGACAAATAATAGAAACGAGTAATAAATGCGAGAAAATAACTGCCTTGAAAGACAGCTGTTGAATAACACGCGCGACACGTATAAATAAACTATTTATAGAACTTACTTTGGCTATTCAACCTATCAACAGGCTAAGACCTTTAGCTTTTCATAACTAAAGTTAAAGGGAGGTTCTCTAAATTCATTTTGCATCAAGTTAACAAAAGCTTGACCATCAACAAAGTATTGTGAAGTCATTCTCGTCAAGATTTGAGATCTTTGTTCGTAAGTAAACGATTAGTCTTCCTGTATTGTATCCTTCCACATCTTCGACTTTCTGACGTAAGAATAGTATTGGAAGTTGACATTTGATTTTAAAGCAAATATCATATGATAAATGTGGGCCAACAGCTGTATACTGATATCAGGAAAAAAAGGGTTACAAAAAGGGTATATTAATATGATTAATACCAAACTGTTGGAATTAAATGTATCATTTAATTTACCATAAATGAAATTCCATATTTTTCAGAATCTGTGCAATAAATAACTGTATTAAAATACAGACTTAAAATACAGACTTTTGATGACTCTGGCACACCATACTATGCAGGGACAGTTGGATTTGTTTTATCAGTAATTAGATTTTTATTTGAAAACAAGAGTTAGAAACTCATTTATATATTATAGCTCTGAACCAAACAACTTATAACTAATTTCTAACTACCACAGTATTTTATATCCAATAAAATATATAATAAATTGGACTTAGAACTGCAAAATGATCTACATGAAATCTACTAAATAAATTGAACCAATCATTTTGCTGTTCACACCTAACCCTAATAACTCTTGCTCCTCCCCTTTCTAAGCATGGGTCAAGGTAGAACTTAAATATAGTTTAGAGTCAAAAAGAAATTTGATTCTAGAGCCTTTGCCAAAGCTGTTGCTTCTGTATCTCTAATTTATTATACTAATACTGAAGATCCAAAGAAGTCAGAGAGGAATTTGATTCTAGAGCCTTTACCAAAGCTATTGTGCTTGTATCTCCAACCTGATTATGCCCAATATGCAAAAAAGTCAGAGAGGAATTTGATTCTAGAGCCTTTGCCAAAGCTGTTGCTCCTGTAGTTCCAATTTCATTATCATAGAGATCTAAAAAGTCGGAGATGAATTTGATTCTAGAGCCTTTGCCAAAGCTGTTGCTCCTGTATCTCCAATTTGATTGTTCCAGAGATTCAGAAGTCATGTGATCGATAAAGGTAAACAAATGGTGTTCAACACATGTGAAGCAATTTATGTGAGACAAGCAACCTTATTTACTATATTGCAGAGAGGAATTTGATTCTAGCGCTTTTGCCAAAGCATTGTTCCTGTATCTCTAATTTGATTTTTCTGGAGATTCAAAAAAGTCAGAGAGGAATTTG